TACACAAGTAGTCTCTTCTGTGCTTCGGCGGGAATGCCCAGAGATGTCACTGATTGATATAGGATTTTATCTAGAATATCGGGTCGAGCAATCTAGGATCTATGCGCTTCGATTGTTTGTGCCAAGCGAAAAAAATTTCATTTTATTATTTTATCACAATGATTTATGTGGCGTTGAATAGCAGTTGAATAGCAGCGAAGCGGCAGTGTTTGTCCGTGGTAAAAGAATATATTCATATTAGGGCATGCCAAAACACAGCGTAATATTCTGCTCTGACTTCATAGGGTTTGTTTCGCATTATTGACTGAACTAAACGATGACCAGGTTCGTTTGTGCTGGAGTACCTTGATCTCGTCAGAGTTATTTCAGTAAGGTGTCCTTCTGTGTGAACTATCGTATCAAGGAGTCTGAATTAAGTTTAGAATAACAATTATCGGAAACGTCTGGTGGTTTAATGTTTGCAGCATTTGATGGTAGCCTAGGGACACTGAAATGCGGAATGACACAGACTGTCGGACGTTCCCTCCTTTAGCTATGTGATTATTGGCCACCATGCATTTGATTGCCCAGCTTGATGCGAACAAGTGGGAAAAACGGCAAATATAGCCTGTAAGTGTCACGTACCAGCTATCGAAATCCGAGGTCCGTTTGTTGGGATGGGTATTTCGTTTTTAATCCAAACGACTTCTGGTTGCGGATTACCGCTCACCTCACATTCGAGCTGTGCAACGTCACCGATTGTAGCAGACGTTGGTTTGGGAGGGGAATGGAGAATCGGATAACCTTGGGGTAAATCTGCAAATAAGAAGAGATAAACAGCTAACATCTCTATGAGTTTAAATTAACTTTTCCATCAGTCATCTGGGTACTGATATCTGGAGTACCATAAGTTATATTTACTATCGCTATAAGCGCTTAAACATGGCTTTTGGTTTTTCTGCAGATTTCGGTCAGGAATACCTACTAATATAATGGCGGGAGAATGTAACGGCAAATTAGTCACCAGAAGTATACAACCAAACGAACACCCCGTATTAAAATTTGTCTACCAAACCAGGCGCATAAAAGACTGATTCAGGTGCGTCGGGCGAAAATTATAGCATCTTGGGATATGAGTTGTTGGACGCAAGTGTCACTCACGATCCCACCCAAATGACTCACTCAAGATGAAAAAATGAATAAAAACTTAAAGGAACATGCTACTTATGAAGCTGCTGAAAAGGCTCGGCCATCACCTCGTGTATATCTCTATCACGGGTCAGGGAACATAAAAGAATGCTTCGGTATCGTTTCGAATCTTTAGGGGTTCAGGTATCTTAAACTAAAGACACTCAACCGGGGTGCAGCGCAGCCATGGTGATCTGTCCTTACCGATATGAAGTCTCATACGCACACAGTTATGTGGTACCAACCAAACAAACCAAATAAACTTGACACACAAATCAAGAAGATATCAAACGCATGCTCAGGTCATCACTGCGGTACAGTCTACTCATCACAAAGATCAGCAGCCAATCAGATTTCGGGGAGATTACTTTCAACAACGTAGCAATTTCCATTTCGATTGTAAAGGTAGTTCAGTTTGGTTGTCCTGAGAGACAGCTATATTGGAATTACTGCACCTTATTCCAAACGTAAACTTATTTGTTTTTCGTGGGTTACACGCAGGTGTCCCACAATAAGAATAACATGAAAAGAACGTCTTTTTTTAATTCAAAGATTTTGTATACTGAAGGCAACCTAAAATGACACCCCAGCAGATTAGCAACCGCCAGCAAAACCCTAATACACATTTAGCCAAAATCTTCCCCCTAGCATTTCAGACACCACCCTTCTGTGATTGAAAAATTGTGGTAGAAAAACTGACAGCATTGGTGACAGTCACAAATTCAGATGGCGAGAAAAAAGACGACTTTGAAATCAATTAAGCTTTTTTCCATTGCGAGAAGTTAATCCCCCATTTTGAATCTGATTGAGGGTGAAACTAATCGACGACAGCCTTGTTTGGACTGGGGACGATAACAATGAAAGTGTCTAGTCCTTGATTAATTGAATGCTCCATTTTCGGCTTGTGAAATTTGCATTTTTAGTCCTTTTATTCACCGGGTTATTCCTCTCACACTGAACGCCACATGCATCAGGCGTGAAGTTTTTGTGTCGCAAACCAGGAATTTTGTTAACAATAAGTAGTTTGGGTGTTACTTCCCACACGTTTAACCTGAATCAACATGGGCGAAACATTTAATGTCGCAGGTGTTTTACTCTGCAAGATGATGTATGTTTTCTTAGCATGCTGTGAATACAAGTTGCGATGCCGACCTGGGACAGAACAAACAATCAATTATGGTAACCTCATGTATCTGCAGTCTTTTATGTATGGCTACAAGATGACGATCACAAGGTAATCCAGGTCACCACCGTTTGGGAATGGAAGACGGCGCTCCGTAATATATTGGTCCCTCCTGATGCTGCTATGTGTGTAACTTTGGGCGTAGAAGCAACTTTAATCCTAGCTTTGCAAGGTGTGAGCGGACGTGTAGAAATGTTCCGTCTTAAGTGGTGGGAGTGGAAAATGTTTGCGCAGATATGTAAACCTAGAATTCCTGCAGAAATTTTATAACTTATCTACATACAAATGCTTCTTCAAAATTCTTTTTTAACTTCATATTTCCAGGATAAGGATCTCAACACTCACATAAATGCCTGACATCCAAAAGTTTTTCTGGCCAATAGCAGTCAAACCACTGAACAGTTGCGCACTGGTTGGTGGGCAAATATGACTTTCAGAGAACCGACTTGAACTTCGCATGTAGATCATTTAGGTTAGCATGGGTTCCAAAGCATCAAATTGACGGACAAACACACAAGCTTGCTAGACCTAATAATCAGACTAAACCTTGTACCACAACAACGGGCACTGGTACTAGTTGCAGGTCCCTTTTGTTCCTCTAAGTTTCAGAGTAATAAAATTGTCTCCTGTACTGTATTTCCCTGCAAATAGCAAGTTGGCGATCGTTGATGTGGTTCAAAATAGCATAGGCGAAATCTAATCCGTCAAGCAGTATTACATTTGTAGGATCTTTCCCTGAGTACTACTAGGGGTAAACCAGCAGTATTATGAGAAAACATAGCCAGTGTTGAATGAAGTCCAAGACGCTTGTCCAAGAGTGACACATCAAGTGTTGAGTTCGTTCCACAATGAAAAGATTAACAGGCATTGTTTAGAAGTAATGAGCAACAATTAACTGTGTATCCCCTTAGATTGTCGCTGCAGAAACAGCTTATACCAAAGTAGATTAGTCTGGACTATATTTATCAGGTTAAGTAAACATTTCTGAGATCAAGCTGCATTATAAAAGAATAAACATACAGAGGCCGTGAACGTAGACATTCTGCAAAAGATATTCGAGAAGAACCCTATTGATTCTGGGAACATGTATTGAGTTGTTAGGAAGAAGAGTGCATAATCAGCGATGCATGCCAAAGATCAATTCGTGAAGCCTTATTTCGTTTTAGAATAGGAAACTTCACTGAAAGCTGATGCTAGTAGACACCAAAGTGCATTCAATAAACGGTGGAATACAGATAATAACTACTATGCATATTGTTTTGTTCTCTATTATCCAGCGGAGTAGTATCTTGCTTTTATTGCAGTCAAACACAAATACGGTAGGAAAGAAGTACCATTTATTTAGGAATCGTCTCTGGTAAACTAAATTGAAATCTGGGAGTTTACTGGTTTACTGTGTCATTAATGGGGTCATGTAGAGACGGAAATGTCAGACTTAGTTTACGCAGTGGGCATAATTTCGTATATTCTGAGGCTTACCTGAATTCACATCATACACAGTCAGATGTGCAATCGCACTGTCCCCGCCAACATGGTTTCTGGCAACACACTGGACTTGCATCCCATTCTGCTCTGTTGTTGTTTTAGTCAGACGTAATAAACTTCCGTCCGGGATATTGACCCCTACACGCAACCTTGAATGACTGATTGTCCGGTCCAGCAAGAAATTCACAGTTGGTGCTGGATTCCCCGTTGCCCGACAGAAGAACAGGGCTGTTTCGCCCGCCACCACTTTGACGTTTGTGGGAGGTTCGATTATTTTGGCAGGACCTGAATTGCAGAGGATAACCATACTGTTATGAAATGTGCTATACTGGCGTTGATAGTGAAACAATAAGCGCCGAAAACTTACGCGTCTTTTGCGAAAGTAGGTGCCACGTTAAGTGCCCATACGGACATTCAAGTCTGAGCTAACGAAGGCTTACGTGGTAGCCACCGTTAGGGCTAAAACTGCAGCACGGTGGCGAAAGACAGCTAAAGTTTATGCTTTTATGATGAGATTATTGAGGTCACTTCAAGCTCAGCTTCTGTAAATATAAATCTAGGACGATGAATTTTTTAGGCACCCACCCGTTACCGTGACTGTGCATACTCGCTAGATTGACCCCGACGAATCATTAGAGAGTTAGCGCTTGTGATGTCTACTGCTTTCCCGGAAGCCCAAACCATCACAAATCTAAATGATGAAGGTTATTCAATAAGTGGCGGCACAATTTTGACACACATCTCTCCCTATCATGTGCTCGTAGCCTGGCTATGGTGATGATTCTGATGGTTTTTTATCACTGCGGTAAGCTGAATTTAATACAAGAATTTAAACCATGTGGCAAATGAAATTAAAAGTCTTTTATCCCATTTTTAGTGTCCAAAGATCCTGAAATTATGTCCCGGTTCTCATTAACTTTTCTCCGGGTTATAAACCGCTTTAGAACAACCTCTTCTGCAATGCAAATAATTCGATGCAAACTTCAAACCATCCTTTAATAGAGCCGTAAGACAGGTGTGATCAAATTTTTTTTTTCAATCATGTAGTATGAGGAATCAGATACATTCCATTTGAGTGGTCTTTTGTGCCGCAAAAGACAGGCTAATCACCACGGCGAGCTTCCAAACCGGTAAAACTTAAGTTCGATGCAGAAGTGCGTAACCCCATTTAAATGGATTGACAGTGGTGAACCTATGACATTTCGATTTACTGTTCAGAATGGAGGTATTTTTATGATGTCCGTTGGCAATTTTTGAACGACCATACCTCGTACACTTTGGTTTTAAACGTTATTCCTCAGTCTACTTGTCCACTGATCTCAATGGGGTCAAAGACAATGTAGCTTTGTCGTGGGTCATTTTTCCTCTTGAAGTCAAACGATGCTATGAATACTGAAAGAAACCGTGTTTGTACGCCTGATGAGTGTATGTGTTGTAGTTTACCTTTTCCCAGTGGTTGCCAGGGTTCCCTGATGTTTACTTCATCTCCATACTGAAAAGTGATCTGTTCAGTTAGTGGAACCCCACCCTACAGGGTGGCTTAACTAAGAAAATAAGTAAGTTAAAGTCTAAGGATTATGTGTGAAGTACTTTCGTTCTATCCACACAGTGGAGCAGTCTTATCTCAAACCTGAACACCTTGATACTCCTCTTTTCAGAACGTCAAACTGACCCATCTGCCTTTCCCTATAATCGCTTCCTCCTTCAGTTACTATTTTCTTGGCTTTCCGCTCAAGAAGGCTAAACGAATGAACCTGAAATTTGGTAATCTTTTGGTCGTATGTGCTTGTTTGAAACCTGCCAGTTTTTTGTTTAGCGAGCTATTTTTACGTTGACTTGGTGACAAGTTTTGCTGTAGTCACTGGCTTTCATCTTATGTGTGTCCCTCAAGGGTGTAAACACCCGAATGCCGGGCTTTTAAAAATTCTAGCCAGCTCAGCTTTTTTTCCAACCTTAATAAAACTTGCAATAGAACGGCCAATTCTCCCTAGATTTTGAGGTTGCCTTGTAATTCGACAGTTAAATTGCAGTGGTTTATTACACTGCAAGCTATCAACGCGTTATACCTACTTTTATTTCGATTTTTATACTCAGGCCAAGAGTTTGAACCTCGAGCATCGAGTCACCACTAACGAACTAAGATAAAAAAAAGTATGCTTCCGAGATTTGATGATATAAAGAAACCACTTATTCTTCATATAGAAACTGGCTCTTTTTTGTGTTAAACATATTGGAACATTCCCTTCCTTTCCCATGCTAGAAATGGGTACTTGCTCACCGAGTGGCTTTGCCCAGGCAATCATCGATCTTGATCATTCCAGGATTAGAATGACGAAAGTGTAGCGTGAAGGCCTGTGTATAAGTTTTTCAAAGCGGTGTTAACACCAGGTGGCCTAGATTGCAAAATCACTACAGCTCCGTTTACTTAACTTCACGGAACATGTATCGAATTACTTAGGGCCGCGACGAATGTTATTCGGAAGGGAAGGGATAAATTTCTTTTTCCAGTACCGGAGACAACCAGTTTCTGTTGGTCTGTAAACAAGGCCACTGGACGGAAAATGGGCTAAGCTCCGCTGTCATCGATCAGTGAACATGTCCCCAAAGCCGGTCATTTGGTTAAAACCGCAGCGTCGCTAATACAGATGCAGTGCAGTTAGTCGAAATTCTTGAAGATCTCACTGAATATTCTCCGCTTGCCTCGGGATTTACTACTGGAACTGTTTGATGAGCGCACTAAATTTGGCTTCTTTTTGTAAATTTGCGTGCTTTCGCTCAGCAGTGAATTCACTTTTGCGGCGTATGTTCACCTCAAACTGTTGAAGATGAGCTCCGACCGACTAAATTCTATCAAAATTTCATCCCCGAAAATTGAAGTATACATAGCAACTTAAAAGAAAAACAATTAAAAACAATATATTCATGTTCTGGAGATGTAGCAAATCATCGAAACGGTTTAAGCCACCTGAGTGGCAACACTCAACACTGGTACGTTACTGGCATTACCATATACCAGTCGATTTTACTCAGTTGAAATAAGATGAAGTAGAAATACATTTTCAAATGTGATTCTATGGTATAAAACGTACAAACTATTATATCAGTTTGGCTAGAAAATGTGTAAACGCCGGTTTTGAAAAGTGGTTTCTAGCACTGTTTTCTGCCGTACATTTGATAGTCACACAAAATCATGCGTTAACCCAAAACAATCAATAACGACTTCACGGTCTTGTAGTTTTTAAGAACGACTGCTTACACCGGGATAACAATGAAGGGGAATATCTCCGGTATTCTAAATCTTCTTAATAGTTAGTTTAGTTGCTGTGTTTCGTCCAGTTTCGAAACAACGACACAAATCTCTCCAGTTCTTTCCGGCGAGTCACTATCCCCACACCTGGGAAAACATCAGCGTTCCGTGACTGTTATTCGCATGCTTTCTTGCTGTTACCTTGACAACACTGATTAATCATTTACAACGGGTCAATCTGGTTGCCGTTGTTTCTGCTGGCCGATTGGGGATTACAAGCAAATGCAACCGTTTTCAGCACTGCCGACTGCGGAAAAACGGGACAAGGTTCTCGGTCAGCTTGCCAGAAGGACAGAGTGCGTGGAACGAACGATTCATACCCGCCCCAGTATGTTGCAGGTAGCTGAAAATCTGAACAAAATTTCCCTGGACTGAAATAACTGGCACAAACTCGTATAGGAAATCACCTTTTTAAAAACAAATTAAGTAATTATTAGTTTACTTGCGATTTACGTGGACCGTGATAGGTAATGTGAAATTTTTTAAAATAGTACACTGGCTTTTTCTGCTGCGTGAAAATATTAATTCTTTCTCGGTGGACAAAATTCTAAGGCTACTGAGGAAAAAAGTTGTGGCTGTGAAATATATGCTAGAATTCATCTGGCAGACTTTATAGGTGATTGTTAAAAAAGAGGTATGGGATTTCAGAGTGTGAAATTCTTCTGCATCACCTTGGTGGAAAAGTATGTATTTTAGCGAGGACTTTCATTGAAACTGACTGGAATTCTGGACCTGAATCTTGATTTGTTTGGTAACCACGTACGAATTAGGAAGCTGTGTTGTTGAAGAAATACCTGTGAGGCCATCAAAAGCCCAGTAAGAAGATTATTTGTTGTGCGAATAGTATAGTGAGGATGTGGCAAAATAATTGAAAGGAGACCGGTGCCCGAGTTTTGAGTGTTAAGAAACTATTGTTTGCATATTTGTGATTTGGATGTGATCCAGTCAGCAGTAACATTTATAAGTGGAATTTGTAAGAGCTCGATGAAACTAGCCTCGTGTTTCTCGAAACCGGATTAATATATACCGGAAAACTTTCCCACGCGGATTTTAGGCTGACAAATGACCGTATGTTGAAGTATCACTTGAGAGTTTCCGCCCTTGGCAGAACGCTTTTCCTGGCGCTATCTGCGACTTCTAAGCAACCTTCTAAATCGGAACTAAATTATCTAAATGCACAATCTTCGGTGGGCACTGCTGCTTCAACGTACTTGTTATTGTTTACTAGCAACTGCGAAGCAGGAAAGTTGTACATGTGTATGGCGCACCTGGAAAATGTTATTGAAACCATTCTTTTGTCTTATCGTACTTTTGTTGAGGAAGGTAACGAATAGTACTGTAGAACAACAAAATAGCTTTTCAACTACATTAAACACTGTTTATTATGACCACTTGGAAGGATAAGGTTGGGAGCACACGAATCACCAGTAGCGTAAAGCAATCTTGTCGTCAAGTCATTACAACCTCGATTAGTGGAAAAGTTAACTATAAATCTCATAGGCAGACCAACAGTAATCGACCAGTAAATTATTCAGTAGCTTTTGTGGCCTCATGATGAAATCCAGCCCTTCATCGCATCTTCAAATGAATTTCTTTATAGCGTATTTAGTGTGCTTTGATAGTTATTTACGATATTTGTCACCAGAGTTTATCGAGAGGCCCTTTGGGCAGTATAGAAATTACCGATTGACACTTTTAATGTACCCAGGGTCCACAATATTCCAAGAATAAGTTTAAGTAAGCTGATATGATGCATCCACGTGGGCTATGTTGTTTTCCCTTGGGCTCTTTTATAGCCAAGCGATGTAGCCAAAAAGGTCCGCACTCCAGCTTTTTCGATACTGGACGCACGTAGTGTCTATTGGAACGAATCCTAGAAAACACACCCAAACAAATGACCGCACCACTTTCATTAGGGTGAAAACGTCACGTAAAAGGACATTTCCGGCAGTAGTGTGAGCTTGAGACTACTTTTAAGCGACCCTCAGCATGTGGCTTATCTCCCGTGATCACCATGATATTTGGTAGTCGAAGAAACATTCGCGTACTAGTGCTTAAATGAATAGTGAATAGTCATCAGTACCAAACTGAGTGCTGATAAATTACCTCACATCGAAGGTTGAATGCTCCAAATTTTCCTTTCAGAATAACCTTATTTGAAACTCTTTCATTCTTGAGGTGCGCCAATACAATGTAACAGGGATGATTTTAATAGTACGAAGAGCTGATGCTTCAAGTTTGTCAAACACATGCATCCAGATCAAATGAAACGTCGGTTTTAGGAAAATGCACTCCTATAGAGAGCAGTCTTGTACGTAGCATCCGTTTCAAAAATTTCGTACAAAAAACTTACTTGCAATATACGATATGGAATACAACTGTTCCATTTCCAGGTTATCAATTAGGTCTGTATCATCACTGGTAATGTTGATGGTATTTTCATCCAGGCTCACAAGAATTGGATCTTTCGCTGCCGTGTGACGACATTGGTTTGAATGTACAGTTTATTGTTTGTGTGGAAAACCAATCAAGGACATCAGTTACAGGTTCAACAGGACCACAGACAACAATATCTAAAGACATTTGAAGGCTTCACAGTCACTGGTAAGTTCACAACATAAATCCATGCAGCATAGGATAACTCTGTGGGTAACGACCAAAAGCGAACTGTGGTTCTGACCAAAACATTTTAATCCTTGAGACTCATTTACCCATGTTCAGGTCTTTGGTTTTACCCTGAAGGTCCAATCATAGTAATGCCCTCCCAACAGCGGACACAAGTTTAGGATAACGGTTCCTGCTTGTTCCCTTTAGATCCTTAATATGGGTGTTGCGAAACAAAAAAGTAACAGTATTAGAATTATTGTCGTATAACTGCTTAACGCGGGCGCGTAAAATGGCTTTATTTCGAATTAAATTAAAGCTTTCCGTGTCTACTATGCAGCATGCTCACAGCTGGGCTAGTGATTTTGGTGACCTTGTGTGTACGCATTTTAATCATATTGAATGGTAGTAGTGGATTACATTGTCGTTTGAAAAGATATATCAACAATAGAAAGAATTAAATTACACTCGTGTTTGGTACTCCGCGGCCATTACAAATCAGAAAACCGTACCGGCCTTATGGAACTAGATAAAAAAGTGAAATCCAAAATGATGAGACAATCGGTCAGACAGTATCTCTTAAAAGGCCAGTCTAAAAACCAAAGACCAAGGAAACAAATGGTATGAACAATCCGAAACGGGGCATGTCTTCAGTTCCACATTTTCAAAATTTCCTTCTGACAACAAACCGAAAAGATGGGCGGAGAATTTCTGCCGATTGAACAAAGGATTTCATCGAGCCATTCTCCTGAAAAAATCTGAACACACTGCTGAGAGATAAATGCAAGTTCATGTGCATTCTGCTATATCTCATTGGACAGAGACTGAGGGTAACTATTGACAGACTGAAACTGGACAATGATCCTTTCATTGAACGGGTTTTGGCAAATAAACCACTAAATGCATGCCAGAGGTATGATTAAACCTTCCTTTCATAATTTTTCATATTTTTATTTTTTTAATTTTAATTTTATTTTTTAGTTATTATTATTTTTTCATAATTTTTACTTCCATCCTTCGATAACAACCAATCCGAAAACTCCTGTATCCTGAATACTAGTTGATTAACACAATATTTGATTTCTAACAACTCATAAGCTGAAAATGGAGCTGTCCTCAGTTGTACAATGGATTCTACCTTGGAAGTTGGACGAATTCAGGTGGATAAACTCCCATGTTGGGGACAAGAATGTTTCAGTCTAGCCTGTGGTTCAACTTTGTCTATGAACTGCGTTTAATAGCCAGTTGAGATGGTGGCCTTTGGAATGTGACTAAGGAGATTCGACTTTAGGTATAGATAATTAATGTGTTCCAGATCAACGGGCATCTAGCATGGTTGGACACCGATTCACCGACGCGCTAATAACGGTCCCTATGTGTTTGAAGTTTCAGGGAAGGTTTGCTTTTAGGGTAAAATGGATACGCTTCAGCTTCATCTACAGTGTACCTGCCGATTCCTAAAAATTTTCCCAGCATCCATTCTAGCTCACATTTTCCTCATTTATCTAAGTTCTGCTACATTTGGTGAAGATCCGCCTTGTTCTTCGTTAATTCCACCATGTACTTTTCTGTAGTATGGATTACATTTAACCCATCAAGCACCATCTATTCCCCTACAAGTTTTAGACAAAGTTCTAAGCAACACACTTGCTGCCTGTTCCGGGCATAATAAGGAAGATTCGCGTCGCATACCCTGATTAGCTCGAAGGAACAGAAGACTCCAACGATATCAACGCATACATTAGTGCTGATCACAATCAAGTACACCAAGCTCGCAACCCTGGAGCTTCATCAGTGGAACCCGCAAGCGTTGGTTTTGGCAGTGCGTTTGTTTAGTGCGGCTTGTGAATGGTTCGTGGTTGGCAAATGAGGTAACCCAGCCAGCTCTTTCTATCCCGCTAGTGAGCGGCACGCTATTTTGGGAGTGTTGTGGATAGAATTCGTAGCTGATGTTCAAGTTGGCCATTAGAGCCCGAGAAATGTGATGTGAAGATGACAGCGATATTCTATTCTTATTGCAGTACCGTAATGCATAATTTATCTCAAGTACTTCATGCCCTTGTTAGATTACCAAAACACCGGTCTTCCTGCTTTTCAAGACTCCTCTTATTTTAGTTTTGAAGGAAACAAAAGCAAGTAAAATATAGTAATTGGAGATGAAATTATAAAATTATTGATGGAAAAAGGAGAAAGTGAGCAACAATTTCAAAGAAAGACGGTTCTCAGGCTTTTTTGGAACAATTCCACAAAAAATGATTACAAAGACTCGCCAAGTTGCCTTCTGGGGGCAAACACAATTTTGTCAGGAAAATAAAGCACGTTTTTTTGACGAAACAATTCATCAATCATGTATCACTTTATTAAATTCCGCAGTTAGTTAGTCACACAAGTTTGTGCAAAAATAACTAATCTCAGAGGGCCTAAGAAACAACTTGTCTTTCCAACTATTGTCGGATACATAGTTTTAAAACTGGGAAGGCCTACTCAAGCGGAAAATATTGATAAAGTTCCAAGTAAGGCGTAAATCATTAAGTATTACCCTTAAATTCTGTAACAAACCTAGTTGGATTATTCCTGACAAGTGTGCAATGAGTTTTTGCCTGTAAAATACTAATATATCCGATTTGAGGTTTTTTCTGAAAAAATGATTACGAAAATGAGACGTCACTCGATTGAGACCAAGCCTAAGAAATGGCAAACTTGAGCTGTTCATTTCAGTATACAAGTAAGTGTAAGTTCATATAAAACTCCTTTTGCTGCTTAACTGGAACACGCGGGAAACAGCATTCTTAAGAGGAGCATAGAGTATCTATAACCAGATGGAAGTCGTGTGCTTGAATAAAAGCTCACACATTTGGAAAAGTATGACTAATTTGTAAGGTTATCGAGATTTTGACTTATGTTTGATTTGTTATGAGTGGCACTGCACTAGTGTGCACACGACTCTCCTGTGACGCTTCAGCCATGCAACCCTTTGACCGGAATCTCATGCACTGATGAAGCTTTTATACTGGGTTTCCTGATCGTTTGACTGAAATACCAGGCCATTCCGGTCAAGTCACATAATTGACCTGAAAACCGTATAATATTCTTCAACCATGAAGAGTCGCCCTGATGTTCCCAGCGAGCCCTTGAGACACTTTTTAGGAAAGTTTCATGGTCTCCTGCAAGACACATGATTAATCAGCTAAAAATAGGTTAGTTTTGTCCACAGTTCCTGAGTAGGAAATCTACCTAATAAAATGGCAGACCTTAATTCCGAAAACATACGGTGTCAAACACCCAATGGTGTACAGTTTTTAACCCAAAAGGATATGCACCTTGAGAACAGCTAATTGGTGGCTATGTAATCTTTACGTTTATTAACTTAACAGCCTTCATCTGAAGAGGTTAACATGAAAAAAGGGTGCTTACAGTGGTCCGTACACAAGGTTCCTCATTCGAATTCATGTATGGTTACCAGTTTTGCATCTGAACAAACCCAACTTTCCGTGGCCACACAATTTCATTATTTATGTTCGAATTTGAGCCGCTTCCAGCTGTCCCCAAGGATAAATTTTTATTTGAAATAATTGTCAGCAAAAGTCAACAGAGCTCCTGTGAGTTGAATTCTCGCATTTATTCCTAGGTCTGATGAGTGTTCGTGCAATAATGCCTCGTACCATTAAAGTTGGTGGAGAACGGCTGGGTGTCTTTTGGCGTTATCGCGCCCAAACAACAGGTTTGTATGACCAAGGACAATTTGTTATTTAGTTCTCGAGTAGCATGCAGGCATCTTTCCGCTCACATTCAAACTAAATCACTTTATTCGGAAAAGCAGTCACACGCAAGCACACGCATACACACATTCAGATGCACATGGGCACAAAGATATTATATCTGTTCAGCCGATGACTGGCCACAGTAACGACATGAGGACATCCGACATAAGTAATGTGTACATGTTTGATTTATGATTTTTTCACTGGGTAAATCTTTTGCAACAATACTCTTCTGATAAAATACAACACTGTCAACGACCTAGAAATACAACAGACACCCGATATGTTCAGTGACTGAAATTTATGCCTGGGAGTACCAAGGACACAGTCGTCTATCGAGGTCAAACCTGCTGGGTAGCAAGTTTCCAACACCACTAGGCTTATAGTACACATAGTCAAGCGAACTTCTAATTATCAGAATACAAGTAATTAGCAGAGCATACGTCTATCTGAAACGTCGAACTACCCTCTTACCACACAAGTTCAAAATTAAAGTACCCATAACGTGGATGCTCACTTATTTGTTACCAGACAGCACCCTGATCAAGAATGGTATTCGAGCAGTGAATATGGTGTTTTCAGTCGTCAGGATTCCGGTGCATGAGTGCGTTAGTTCAGCCGAAGAATGTGCAAAAGTGGATATTTTTTGCTGAACAACAAACGACCCTCAAAAGAGTGCCACAAAGGAGTTGAACTGATCAGGACTGTCTCATCTAAATTTGAGCTACCCATATGTGCTTCGTGAAAGAGACGCGGTATCGGTGATATGGAGGATCGGTGGTATGTGTGCCGTTCAAGTGCTTGACAAGTACACCTAATTTTTGAGGCACTGTATCCACAATTGTCCTAGGATGAATATAAATCACTCAGTTTAGCAGTTTGGGTGCCTGGAAAAAGTACCACGGCTTAAACACTAGGTAATCATGAGACGGTATTTTTTCAAAATTACGTCAGCTGACTCCGTTGTTCATTTTATTGGTCACTTCGTGTTTGTTGTGGATAGTCTAGACAGGCTAATGTGC